ATAGAAAGCAATCATGGATACCAGAGACAATGGGAGGAGGGTGGGACATGGCAGAGGATTAGGGATAAGGAATCAAGGATGGCAAAAAAAAAAAAAAAAAGCAAAATGTACAAGACATAAGAAATGGAAAATTGTTTGTTGATAACATGTATGTTGATGTGCTTGATTGAGCCAACAGTGTATTTTGGATGGAAAATTCATTTTGTATACTGTAATGATGTATAGCGTATTAATGTTAAAAAAAAGAATAATTAATTAATAAAAAAAAAAGTAAAGCCAGGGCCAGCAGATGGTGTAGTGGTTAATGCACTGGACTCCCACATGGTTCACTGTGGTTCAAGTTCAGGAGCCAGCAGCTTGAAACTCATGACAAGTGCATATGCATGCATGCCCAGAATCCTGAGAGGAGAATGGAGGAGAAGTTACTGCAGCGTGGCCATCCCCTCTGCAGAGTGATTTCTTGCTTTCTTTCTGTCTGTCTGTCTCTCTGGCAAAGCACATGTGCCCTATAACAAAAAACAAAACAAAACAAATCTCTCAAAAGAAAAAACTGAAGCCTTTAAAAAATAAGTAAATCTCAGGGATCAGCAGATAGCATAATGGTTGTCACTGGACTCCCACATAATTGACTATGGTTCAAGTCCTGGAGCGCCAGGCATGTGTGTGTGCGTGCCCCAAATCCCAAGAGAATAAAGGAGAGGGGATTGAGGTGTGGTCATCCACCTTAGGGTGGTGGTGGGAGGGGGGGTGATTTCTTGCTTCCTGTCTCTCCAGTGAGCACACACACTCTATAGCAAAAATCTCTCTCTAAAAAAAAAAAAACGAAATAAATAAATCTGTTAGAAAATATTGTAATTGAAGCTGTGACCTCAAGAAAAAAATTTTGTACAACTATCATTAAAGTATACATTATCATTAATTAGACAGTTCATGATAAGTACTGAAATATAAATGCTTGAAATACAGTTACTTTCACAACCTCATTTTACAGATTGGTGGCAGAATTCCCTGCAACTGGGGGAATACTTACTTCATGGCAGTTTTACTCTGTGAAGCTCCTCAGATATGTGGGCTACTATGATTACTTTATTGCTTCCTGTGAAATCACATTTTGTATTTTCCTTATTGTCTTCACAACACAAGAAGTCAAAAAAATAAAAGAATTTAAGTTCACCTATTTCAAAAGTATTTGGAACTGGCTAGAATTACTACTTTTGCTGGTAAGTATATATTCATGTGTTATGACTGAAGTTGAACCCACCAATGTGAAAGTTGTAAAAAAAAAAAAAAAACAATTTTCAATTCACCCAGTTCTTATTTTGAATGCTGTAAGTATCCAACATAAAATGATGCTCATATTGCATATTAATGGTATGCTTCCAAAAGGGAGTAATCTGTTTATTTTCCTGATTCATTCCTTGGGAGGACCAGCATAAACCTATAGGTGATTCTATAAATATGAGTTAACGTGCACAGATAATTTCCCTATCCTACTCAAAAAATGTTATTTTTAATGTTTTTGTCATAAGGTGTATGTGTTTGCCAGAGAGAGACAGAGAGACAGAGAGAAAGTGGCACATACACATGACCAGTGTGATTTTTCAAGCTCTCAGTCCAGGACTCGAACCACAATCAACCATATGAAAGTCCAGTGTCTTATCACCACTTCACCTGCTGGGCCCTAAAAAGTGTATTCTTTCAGGGCCTTATGTTTTCCTAATCATGGATCTTTGAAGGCAAGGTTCTTTAAAATGTACTCTTCTATCTTGGCTAAATCCACTTTTCTCCTTACATTAAATTTTAAAAGAATAGGCAAAATACAAGATTAGGCAGAAGACTGACAGGGAAGGAGAGTTGAGCAATCAGAGAGTACCTTAAGAGAACAGAGGGCTCCAGGATTGAATCCCTGAAACACCAAGAATGCCAGTTCTAGTCATTGGAACACTATTAAAATAAACAGATACACAGGCAAGTTGAGAGCTTGGTCTTAAGCAGTCAGTGAATAAGACATTTTCTGGCTCATATTATCTGATTTTCACCTTTATTACCTGTTAGTTATAACCACTTCCACATGTAAGCCTTACTTTCCAAAAATGAGAATGAAGTTTATCAGAGTCAGAAAATGTGCCACCTACCTCTCTGATATCCCCAATAATGTCTAACAAAGGGCCTAGCAAATGTTTAACTATCTCAGTATTTTAAGGAAAGAAAAGTAAGGAAAAATTTCAAGATAGTTATAAAGCTCCAATACATAAGATAACCTGAAATCCTCTTTTAAAAGAGTTGTTAAAAGGTTTTTAAAATGTTAATTTTGTAACTGTAAATTTTTTCTTGTAGTATTAAATGGTAAAAAATATTAAACCCTGAGGTACCACATAGAGCAGACACCCTTATGGGTTGGCAAGAGTTCTATAATCATTTTACATTAGTGTTTTATAACTCAAAAAACTATCGGGGAACCAGCAGTTAGCATAATGGCTATGTCGCTGGACTCCCACGTAGTCGACCGCGGTTCGTGTCCCGGACCTGGTGGCTTAAAACTCACGCCGGGCGCGTGTGCGTGTGTGCCCAAGATCCCGAGAGGAGAATGGAGGAGAAGGGATTGTGGCGTGACCATCCCCTCTGGGGGGTGATTTCTCGCTTTCTGTCTCTCTGTCTCTCTCTCTCTCTGTCTGTCTGGCGAGTGCACACGCCCGATAGTAAAAAAAAATCTCTCCAAAAAAGAAAAAAACTATCAAATAGGTAGATTAGGAAGGTCAGGTATCAGTATTTTTCTACTTTTATAATAATTATGATACCTTAAACTTCTGTTAAAGGTTATTTCTATATATATAAAACCTATCTTCTCTTTTTGTTAAACTTTTCACTTTTTCATGTATTTCTTCATATGCTGTAAGAAATTTAGAGGTAGACATAGTCTCTAACCCTTCTTATTTTTCCATTTAGTTGTGTTTTGTGGCTGGTTCTTTCAATATATACTGTAATATACAAATTTTTCGCTTACTTGGAGAGCTGTTGAAAAGTACTGAAAAATATTCAGATTTCTATTTTCTTGCATACTGGCATGTTTATTACAATAATATAATTGCTATTACTATCTTCTTTGCATGGATAAAGGTATTTACATTTTATTATATTACATAAACAACAGTGTAATAGCACAATGGGAACTTAATACTTGTGAAAATAACCAAAAGCATTTTCTCAATATTTAAGTAATTTTAAAGGTAGTTTGGTCCTGTAATGATTCCTGGGAAATCCTCAAACACCCAATTATCATTAAGTTCTTCCTTTAATTTGAAGGACAATTCTAAAATTAATTTAACTTACTCTAAGTGATTACAATCTTTGATACTGTATTTCAACTAACTTTGTTCTTTTTCAGATATTCAAATTCATAAGCTTTAATAAGACAATGTCTCAGCTGTCATCAACATTATCCCGCTGTATCAAAGACATAGTAGGATTTGCCATCATGTTTTTTATAATATTCTTTGCTTATGCCCAGTTAGGATTTCTTGTTTTTGGATCACAGGTGGATGACTTTTCCACTTTTCAAAATTCTATGTAAGCTCTTAGTATAAATCTGTTTTCTATATTTTTAACTGAAAAAAGAGAAAGGCTTATAATAAGTAGCATGAGCTTTACTAAATTCATGTTTAGTTTGATATTTTCATTGACGGCTATATTTTCATTGATGGCTGTCACACTTAAAGTAGGATTTGGCATTGAAATATCCAATGGATGGTGGTATACATTTCAAAATGTTACTAGATCAAATTAGGAAAAATGGTTCTTTAGGCTAGCCCTATAGCCTAATGGTTAAGGAGCCAACCCAGATCACAGGCACATGTGTGCTGACAAACTCAGGAATGTCTCCAATGTTAGTTGGGAGCCTTCCCACATGTGTCTGCCTCACAGAGCATCACGTTTTACTACTGCACCGCTATCTGGCTCCTTCCCTCACTTTTTTTTTTTTTCAAGAGGTTTTTGCTATAGGGCGCGTGCGCTCGCCAGACAGACAGACAGGCAGACAGAAACAGAGAGACAGAAAGCGAGAAATCACCCCCCAGGGGGGATGGCCATGACGCAATCCCTTGTCCTCCATACTCCTCTTGGGATTTTGGGCACGCACGCACACGCACCCAGCGTGAGTTTAAGCCACTGGGTCTGGGACTCGAACTGCGGTCGACTACGAGGGAGTCCAGCAACATAGCCATTATGCTAACTGCTGGTCCCTCCTTCCCTCACTTCTGAAGGATAGTTTTTCCAGACATATAAAGGATCTTCAAAAAGTTCATGGGAAATGCATATAATGAAAAAGCCATACGTGGATTTTGAAAATTTTTTTTCACCAAAATAAATTCATACTTTAATTCTACTTTTCCAGAAACTTTTTGAAGTTGCTTCATAGAACTTTTGATCAACAGGGTTTTGTTTTTTTTTTTCATTTTTGCTTTTAGGACATTGACTATGGCAGCCCACTTCCTATTGGCTTTCAAAGTTTCTGATGAAAAATATGCTGGTGGGGGGACCAGCAGTTAGCATAATGGCTATGTGGCTGGACTCCCATGTAGTCGACCCTGGGTGCGCTCC